TATATTCAGCTTTCAAAAGCGTATTCTGTTGAGAACGAAATTATAACATCGTCTCAAGCAAGTTAGTAATCGAGTAGCGTTCTAAGCACTGAAAGTTCCAGAACTGATCTCTTTGAAAGTCTATTGACCCTACACTTGAAATATCGCACACGAGCTCCAGGTGTAGAATTTGTCCCCACGAAATCAGGTTCGAGAACTTTGTTGGTCACTCGAAGCGAGCGTGCGCGTCGAGTTGAAGCTGGTTAGGTTGAGAGGAACGACAACTGTACTTAATAAATACGTTCGTGTAAAATGTTTCGGCCACATATAAATATAAAAGGTCACAAACAAACGAAATGATTCTCTTTCCAGTTTACATTGAACACTCTACGTATGGGTTATGCGTTTAAGCTTTAGTTCAGAAAAGTTGTTTATCAAATCGTGTTAGGGGTGACATTTTGCCGAGGTAACAAATTCAATTAGATATCCTGGTGATAACGAAGGTCTTCAATTTTTCACATACTAAAAATAGCTGAGTATAAACAAAAAAAACTAAAACCAGTCTGAGCTGAAAGTTTCAAAGTGACGAAACCTGTAAGGACTGCAATGTCGGATTTGATCACGGAAGCTCTCAGGGGAAAGTGTATTTTGTAAGAACTGCCCTTAAGGCAAGAAGCCTCACGTAGAGACAACTATCAATATATAAAACTTGCTATAGTTCAAAGCATTTATGCTTAACTGCAACGGATAGATCTTAAAAAAAAGTTGTCTGACAAAGGCCGCCAAACTAGCGTTATCTTCCGACATGAGTAAACAACAGCGAAGCTAAGAGATGATTCGAGATGCTGATGCTCGCAGCTTGAATTTGGACCTTTGATTCTGGGCAAGCTAATAAAAAAGAAAAATAACCATTTTTAGAATTCTAATACTGCTAATGGAAGGTACACTTATAGGTTATATCGAAAATAAAGTGAACTTCTTTTTATGCTGTTACGTATAACCAGGCGTGGTGTTAGAGGGACACATTCGTGGCTTATTGACTCTATTTATTGACAAACCAGACTATGTACGACCGCTTTGCTAGCTATCACCTCTGGCAGATTATATCATATTGGTCTGGCACTTGTTTAAAAATATTCAGCTGAATAAAAGCTTTAATTAAAAAAACACTTTATTTATATTGCGAAAGAAGAAAGAACGGTGTCGCCACCGGTAAGTGCTATTCTAACATAATGACAGCTCCTCTACTGTCGTCCCTATAGCGGAAGGACCATTTTTTCTGGTCATCGACCTTTTCAATAAAGGTCTTCTCGTCACATGTAATTCCAATGGATATCACATTGAATCATCTCTGACTCTCTACGTAACTAAAAGGCTCGTTCTCGGCGAATTGAATCTATCTGCCCGATTGGTTGAACGAAAACCGCTTAAAAAAACGTTGAAAAAAGAGAAAAAAGACCCATACTTCTAGCGTCATTATGGCGGGGCTAAGTCGCTAATAAGCCATGAGAATGCAGAACAATATAATGCTCCAAAACAGAATGCTTAGCTTCTACTAGCATGCTAACGTTGTAACGTCCAGTGTCGTGCGCTTACATATACACAGTATACTCTCCCTGGTATACTCATACTCTAGCCTCCACCATCCATGCATGGAAATTTATTAGCATTGACCAAAAACATTAAGTATTAGCATTAGATGTTTTTTCGAATCTAGTGATGTTTGTGTTACTGCCACAAAAAATAACAGGAAACTAATTGGCCAAGTATGGACGACCTAAGTTTCCATTCTCTGGTGGCGACCACTGAAATTGACCAGACGGATCCCTCGACCGCGAAAGGGTACTCCCCTCCCCCGATCAAAACAATGTCAGCAGCTTTTCGAAATTATACCCGTGATACTGTACGCGGTAAAATGCTTGTCTGTTAAATTCAGGGATACGTGAGGTAGTCTATGTTTGAGACCGGGCGTAAACACGCTTCGTTTCGTGCTTGAAGAAGTCGCCAGTTATCTGAACCGTCGAGCGGCACTACTGAAGATGCACGGAATACTTATTTACTTGGCTTGTTGAAATCGCTTGCCCACGTCATTGGGACTTCGTGGTTGTTAGAAAGCTTAGCCGTGAAACATTCTACATGAAATCTTCATGAGGTACAACCAGATTGCCACTTTCAAGTGAAATATATGGTAGCTTACTACTGATCTAGTTTAGGGACTGGCCTGAAGCCACAGATAGCCCTATTTTTTTTTTCTTTATCAATGCATTCTATTATAAAATCTTTGGGGTTTTTTTCCCATAGTGAATATTTCGTTCCAATTTTTCCAATATTTCGTTCAGTGCGCGCGAGCATTAAGCGATCCCCTTCTCCATTTATTTCACGCTAGGCTTCAGCGTGATTCATTGTCGGTTTCCTTGACCAAGGACGTTGCTGTTACATCTGGTCCCTACGCAGCAGTAGCTGCGACTCTTGTGCTAAAGACGCCCTTCCTGCAATGGGGCTGTGGTAACGAATTTGCCTACTAAATAGAAAAACATGGATAGAGGTTTAGATTTGCACACCTTTATTGTTCATCAAAAATTCAAAGAGCAGTAGGAAAGACAATATTGAGTGATACTGTTCTCTGCCCCGCCTAGCAAAATTGCCGCGGCCTAAAGCCCCCTACCCTGTAATCTCTAAAACAATGCTAAAAAGTGGTATCGAAGTCTGCCGCAGAAGGAAGGTCGGCTCGAAGTCAAGATTCTACCACGTTCATTTTACTTGTGTGGTTATGTAATAGCTTTTGTGATATACCTGACAAAGATAAATACATTTTACTGTATATAATTGCTTAAACCTATAATAATATACTGGAAGCTGCAGCTGAGCGTTTGATACCTCGAAAGGTATTACGTAAATCTATAATTACCTTCCAACTATTATATCATAAAGCTTTTCGGTTAATGGAACAAAAGGGTTATGGGCTACTACTGATATATACGTTCTTTTCTGTTATTTCGAGTGGCACTCAGCATTGAATTAGTCTGTACTGTTTGTGATTGCCATGAAATGAGTAAAGGTAATAGCAAAGCAGCAAATCGGTTTCTCAATTAGTGCGATCTTTGATGTTAAAGATCTATTTTTTCCTCGTACATAGATAGCTAACTTAACCTCCGTGGAACGCATCATGGCTGAACTGGACATGATACTTGAAAACAGCGTTCTTATAATAAGTAAGTTCAAAAAACCGATGGGCTGTCCAGTGGTGTTTTAATATTCGTTGTCTCTTTCAGCACATCTGTAACTCTAGCTGGAACAAAGTTGCTCGGACTCGAACCCGCATAGAATTTTAATTAATTCAGCCAGTCTGTGTAAACAGGGATACTATTAGATTGTAGACGGAATTGATTCAATAACTTTATGCATAATACAAGCCGTTTGGGTAATTCTAAAATTGATCGCATTTTTATCTGAAACAACACGTGTAACGTCAGAGATCCCTTAGTATCCAGTATTGGCACCTGCACGACCCTCAGCAACATGAGTTACAAACTGAATAAAAAGCAAAGGGAACCACTGAAGATCGGCCACCTGGTGTTCTTCATTGCCTCAGTTTTCCATTGTTATCAAAATCTGTTGACGAGCGTTATAATTGTGGGTGATTTGAAAAGGGGGAAATTGAAAACGATGGAATTCGAAAATGTCCAGCTAGCTTTGGCACAATGTGTTCAGAAAGTCGCCAGTGCTTCGAGGAAACTAAGGAAGTTAATAGCAACAATGGGAACTCCCCATAAAGTTTCCATTTTTTTTAAACTATAGCGTACATTTTAGGACAGAATATATAAGAAAAGAAATAGGTTAAAAAAAAAACAGGGTTTTGTTTTGGATTCTGTAAGATTTTCAGGATGCTAAACGAAGTGATACGCTCTCCGTTAAATATTCAAGTATGATTTATCCTTACCTGCTAGTTTTAAAATACGCAATAGAGCTAACAATAATAATAGTATTTATGACAAAGGAAAAGATGGGTCTGATCAGATAGGTTGTGGTTAAACTTTGGTACCCTCTCTGACTAATAAAACTTCCTATAATTGACTGATACGTAATAGAAGGTTCGCAACGCTGAAAGGTCTCAGCTGTTACGTGTAAAAAAAACTGGGTAAACTTAAGAAGTTCTATCTTACATGAACACAAAATAAACTAAAATAGACTAGATTCGCTACAAATACCAAAATACACTTTCAGTTCTACCTATTGTCACATATACCAGAGACGATGTCTAACAGGTTATCAACGACTTTCGTTTTTAATTAGCCCAATGGGTCTACAACAAGTAGGCCATGCCAGCAACTCTGAAAGGTAGTTGTATAATAATCAAAATAAATTCATATGTCCAACTATTGCATACCTAACTGTGAGTTCATTTAATCAGAGCTCTGAAACTATCAGAATTACCATTAGTTTAGGATATTTTTCAGGTTAGGGTATTGTGCACTGAACAATAGCAATTACTAGTATGCGAGTCAATGGTCCACTGTTATCAGTCGTGTACTAACTAGAATGGTAAGGACCTTGAATACTGAGGTACATAGAGAAGCTCTATAGATCCTTCTACAAATGTACGTACATGTAAATACAAACTGAGGTTAGAATCATTCAAACTGTATGTATATCTTTTTAGAACAGCCTGTGTTAGCAATCAACAAGCCTTTTGTTATTATCGCATGATTGGCTCATACGAGCATGATCTGAGCGTTATATGTAGTAAAATATAAACCACCCAAACAAAGTATAGCGATCCCTCGTTTCTGTATACTGAGGTTCACTTTGTATTGAATTTCTCGAACATAACTTTTCGATCGAACAACTTATAAAGCTAACCGCATTTGTTTACGGAACACAATGTTTGGTCCATCTAATAGTGAAATATAGTAAAATAATATAATATATATATATAATAAAAATAGAATTTTAGCGATTGTCTTCAAAGCCACCTTTCCTGTCAGGTACCGAAACCGTCAACTAATTAAGAGACTTGCGAATAGATAAATAAAGTAAATATGACCACGAACGGCTACGAATCCACATTGACGACGTTCCACCAGTTGACATCAGTTAGATAATCATTCGAGGAGTCGCATCCGCTGGCGCAAGTATACCTGGGTAGCAGTCGGTTTTAGACGGATAGATAATTAACCCCGTAATGTTGAAAGGGTCAATTAGCCCCCTGAAGTAGCAATGGCGCCGGACATAAAACTCGAGACATTAATAGTGGATGAGATTTGACCAAGCGCAGTGACTCTGGATAATTTGGATAATGGAAAATAACTTTGGAAGATTAGAAACAGCAGCATAGGTTGAATGCCATTTGCAATTAACAGGGCTCCAGGTGACAAGTTACTGCAGCATTCTCGGTAATGCGAGCATTTCAATACAAGTAGAACTCTAAGCAAGCAGTCCAATCAAGTGAATTGTACGTAACTGCGAATCCTGAACGCAATATGCTCATAGTGGGTTTCATAGGTATTGAAGACTAGCACGTTACAACGCACATTGCCGATTACATTATTAGTATGAAAGGAGACTCATCTAGAAATATTTTTACAGATGTGTTACATAAATAACAGAGTTGCCAAAAGTTATTTTCGACTATTTTCATATTGTAAGAAGAAAATTTTTTACTATATTTTTATTGTATTTATAAAATCTATCCATTGTTCGACAGATTTCAACTGGAAATCAATAACATTTCCACTGAAAAATATGCTCAGATATGTCCGATTGAAGTTTCAATAGAAAAAAAACACCTTAACGAACTTCGCCTGACAGGTTTACGTGCCATATATTAGTTTCGTACGTTTTCCAAATATTTTCAAGCGAAACAATTTTACACAAAAGTGTACGTTTTCTGTACAAAAATGATAAAAGCGTCACTTTTGCTAATTTGTTGGTTAGCCTGAAACGGCACGCAGCAATCTACTACCAGAATGTGTCTGCGATAAGCCGACTCATTAGAAACGACTAACTAATCGCTTTCGGAATCGAAACAAACTCTCGTAGAATTTGAAGACCCCCCACACAGTAGAAATGCAAGATTTTTCCAGTTGTCCATGTGTCACCCAACGTCTTCAACGGTGATCCTCCATTTAATACACCTTTATGAATCAATCCATAATGTAGCACTGTCTACCGTAGTGCATCTATACGAGAGAGAAAAAACTGAATACTTATGCACCTGCTTAACTCAGCAGAAGAAATGTTAACCACTATTGATCCTATGTGCACACTTTTTTCTTTTACGATAGAAACTCTCACAGAATTCATCTCCATTCAGGCTCCGGTTGTTGGACTGACTAGTTTTGTTTTAATTTTGGCGCCACTATAAGCATGCAGAAAGAAGGGAAAGGCCGTTTAATTTTTTAATGCATAGAAATCGAACACTGAGAAAGGGAAAAAGACCTGCGCGAAGCGAGGATGGTGACTGAAGTATTTTGGGCATGGCAGTTACTGAGTGATGCAAAATGGTGCTAGCTGTCAAGCAAACATAGGTTACTCTTGGTGGCAATAATTCTTAGTGCCTGTATCTGCATATCGCACAGATAAATTGAGACATATTAATTTGTGTGAGACATCGTTTGTGTTAGGTATTGCAGTGATAGCGGAAATCGTAGCGCCATATTTTCGTCAATGATGATATACCATTATAATATAATACGTTGTATACAGTTAATATCTCTGTACTATGACAACTAAATGGACTGTATAGTCGAATCAAAGAAATAGATTTTAAATATTGTCATCCATAGGTGTGGATAGGATAGTGATATTGAATACGGATTGTTTTCTCCTTGCGCGCGTTGTAACAGTTACCATTCTAGCAGGGTTTAGCAGTTTGCGTTATTGCATTCTGCCTCGACTTTCTGTAGTTGGCTATGTTCGAAACTGGGTTTGGCTTAGGGCTTAGTTGTTATATGAAGTACTGAGGGCAAACGCTATTGTAAATGTGGAACTAGCTATTTTTTTAAGGACGTCTTTCTTTTTTTTCTTTTTTAACATTTTTGACAATTTTTATTATGTGAATAAGTTCTCTGGATAACCCAGTAGGTATAGCATTAAGAAATTGCACCCACAAGAAAGATTAACTGAAAGACTTATCTATAGTTTTCTTCCACGGACCCATAAAATGGCATGGTAGTCATATGTCAACATGACCAGTCATTGATAAACGGATTGTTTATGGTTAAGGAATGGGTTATGTGATATCGTTTACTTTTTTCTATTACAGCTTATGTGCGCAGTATATACACAGTTCATGAGTGGTCACATCAAAGAACCCTAAAAAATTGCTTCTGAGGTGCGATCAAATGACATCGACTGAAGCTCATTGTTAATTGGTTTATTCCACTCGAAGCAAACGGTAACGTAGCGTTCTCGCCAATACGATGTTTTCTCTAGCGACCATTCATTTCAATATTTGTGAATATCACGTTTTTTCCAATCCAAAGTTTTCCAACTTTGCGGTCTCTAGCTTTGTATTAGCTTTCAGAGGTGCTATTTTGTATGGTTATTAGCATCATATTTTATGCATATATACGCCTTTATATTTTGACGAGCATCTCAAAATGGCGAGTATGTCTAATGATGACAATTGGTACTAAAACATTTTGCAATATACTATAACACATGTGAATAGAAATTAGCTCATTATAAATCATTCGACCTGTGGCGCCAGCGAACTATATAATGCGTCGCATACGTTGAACATTAATAGATAATTATGTATACTCTATTGTACCGAAGTGTGTCCTCGGCAGCATCCATACGCGAACAATCTAATATGGGTGAAGTATGCGTTCGGGATTAAAAAGGCCAAAAAGCTCAATCCAGCACTGCGGCTCAGAATGTTAAAGCGACGTTCTCGCCGCGAATATCTGAACATACAGCGGGCCGCGAGTATGAGGCTAGTCTGCAACCGCCGGCAAGTAAAGCCTCATCGGCAGTTCTATCCGCTCAGTTCAGACTTGGAGGTCAATAACTGGATGGTACGGGTAGCCGAAATCGCTAAAGATATCGCGCATGCACGTAGTAGGTACGTAGTAACGAGACGGTACAACCTCATGGGCTATAACAACTGGGTATGATCAACAAAATGCATGGTTTGGTGCATACTAGTTTGAAGAAAGAATTCAACTATTCTCTACATAATAGTATCTGTTCCATGTAAGCAATACCTAGACGATTAAAAAATAATATTTTTTTAGGGGACATCGGGCCATTATTATAAATACTATTTATTTTTATTAAATACAAATACGACTGCTATTGTTTATTGTGACGTACTAATACGTTATAGCTGTGTTAATATTAGAAGGTGCCTTTATTATATCTATATCTATATGTATATATATATATCTATCTACATATATATTTTAATTATTATATATAATTTCGATAATGTTTACAGATTTACAAAATTTCACCTGCATTTATCCTTGCAAATCTTTGTCGAGAGTTTATTGTAACCTGCATATCATGAGCATCATGTGAAAATATCTTCCGGCTCTTTTCCATTTGTTCCATAACATCTCTTAACTCTGTCTAATTATGTTAAAGTTCGCACATAGCCCAATCGGATATTCAACGGGCTGTGTGGCAATCGTTTAAAAGGCAGCGGCCGAATATACTCGTCTTCCGACGGGTAATCCATCAGTATGTGACGCTCGCTGGGCCTTCAGATCATCCAGATCCTTCCAATAGTTCGACTGAAACGACTACCACTGTGACTCCTGCCGCAAACACGCCCCTGGAAGAGCCTCGATATGACGGAGATGAGTATGATGATAATCGTCTTGCTCCTGAGAATTCTGCTGTTATTGAGCAGCAGTCTGTACACGCTCAGCGCGCAGAATCAACAAAGGAACGACCGAAGAAGGTGAAGTCTCGCCGCATAATCCCTCAGAGTGCAGGGCTACCAGTTTTTGTCAATTTGAGCCAACTGAAAAAGAACCTATTATATCGCGGGCGGCCGTATTATTATCTCGGGAATCCAAATCGCAGACGACGCAGGCCGCCGCCGCCGCCTAGGATTGCGCTGTCGCGGCCTATTCCGCAAGGGTGTGGATACGACCTATGTCCAAGAGGTGACAGAGCAGATGAAAGCCAGGCAGAATCCAAAATACGACTGGGCTCCTTAGGCAAAGCGAAACAGAATGCAGAAGAGGAATTTGAAGATGCCTGGCTCACAGATGACGAGCCTCATTTAAATTGTTCAACTAGAGAAGCCTCACGAAGCTTTTCAAAGGAGCTAACGCATCGTTTAGCGGAAAGACCCGCAAAACGTTCGTTGCGAAGACTCCAAAAATATACGCGGAAACAAACTCAAAACACCTTACAACGAAGACTTTATAAATTCTCAAGAAACCAGCCTCTATCTAGTTTATCAGTTCTGCCTTCTTCGGAGCCAGCTTTGACGAGCTTATCGTGTCCGTGTGTTAGTCCGACCACATCGTCTACCCCATCTAATTCTTCCGCTGAGCTGCAACAGCAGTCCTTCATATCGCAGCCCAGCTTTAGTGATTTCCAGCCATGTTCTTCACGAGACGGTTCAATCGATTCGAGGGAAATTATCGTGAGGCCAAGGGATACGGGCCATTCGTCGACATCGTCATCCTCGAGCACTTTCGAAAATAGACGGCACTTCTGCGAAGAACCCTTCGGAAAGGCTGATTCCTGTAGTCAACAGGTGACGAAAAAGGGGAATAGTCCAGAGCAGAAAGAGCCTGTTGCCATCAAAGGTTGCGTGAAGAAAGAGACGGCCATGGCGACTGATCAAGAAAATCTAGTGAGCCCGAAAGTGGATTTGACTGACGAAGTGAGGAAGGCAAACCAAATTTCGCTTACTCAAGCAACGCACCCAGCTGAACTTTCCAGCGGTACTCTTGGCCAAAAACGGGAAGGTGATCATGTTTTTTCTCATAGAGATATGTTGACGGCCGAACGTCAACAACAGCCTTTGTCAAACGCCGAGCAGTCGGATGACGACTCGCGGTTAGTGGCAGCCAGACAATACCAAACGGAGGAGGGAGATTGTGTCCCCCCTGAGGGGGAAGTGCAGACGGAGCTACGGCCTCAACAGTACAAACAAGAGGAAGGTGCGTCGACCCTTAGTTTTTCCACACACAAGACGTCGCAGACAGACTTGCAAGTTGAAGTTGACCAGAGCCAGGTAGGCGGTCGGGGCTCTCAAGCTGCGGTGCCACAAGTAAAAAAATGCTGGAACTCGGGAGATGAAAAAGCTGAAAGAGTTTCCAAGGGGAACTCAAAGGTAAGTAAGCGTAAGGTGATCACATAAGATAACTGTATAAACGACGGCGATGATGAGTCTACAAAGGTAGGATCAAGATCTAAAAAAGAATGTCGCAGGTCAAGGGATGAATATACGGGAGAGTTTCCAAAGGCAAAAAGGGCCTAAAAAGATGAAAATCACAAAGCAGCTGACATGGACAATATTAAAGCGATTAGCTAACACCTTTGGCATAGAGCAAGAACTTTGCTTTCATTATACTTATGAGGCGCCAATGCTTGTTGTGTATACAATCGTAAATACAAATGTATTTTTATTTTTCATCACACTGGCCTGCGCAATTTATTCACACCCTTCTGTAGCCGTTAATTAATAAAGTAATACGACTTGTTGATACCATACCCAATTAAATGTAACTTGTACACAGCTGGAGTATTAACCAACAGTTACCCCGTCTTTGTTTGAAACCCCGTTTGAAACATCTGTTTACCTACGTGCGGTTATCGCAACGATAATTCCGCAGTATATCCTGCACACTGTCATCCCGTCCCTGTCCCATTTCCAGCGATTTCGGCAACGGTAGCATAGTAACCGATGCCGCAGCAATAGTACTAATATAATATATAATAGTAGCAGCAGTACAACAAGGCAAAAGAGTTAGATGAGGTCCCAAGAAACGGGAAATTGATCATCCTAGTTGGCATTACCTTGTTACCCTCTTCATAAATAATCGTGCTCTGTTATTGAAATATCCTTTAAACTCAATAGCTTTTTACACTTACTTTGGCTTGCCATTGGAATGAATTCATTATCGAATTATTACACATTTCGTCTTATTTAACCCTCTGGTTGCATACATGCAAACAATCGAAGTTTTTTTTTGTCGAAGTTTTCTTTCGTAAAGCTTAGAGAGACAACTTGCCAATATTAGAAATATTTCAGAGATTATCAACGGATGCTGAAAGATCGCTCAAAAGGATCAAACTTAGCGAGGAACTACCCCTTCATAGCAATATTCAACCAACTGCCGGAGTTGAAAGCGGGCCGAAGAACGAGGTGCACCCGACCCTCAAAAACTAGATTTACACTTTACGTAGGTGATTTCAGGGAAATAGTTATCGTGTACAATTAAAATGATCCTTCTTAAATTCCGACCTGGAGACATAACGTGCATAGCTACGGAAGTTAGTCTAGCCACCACTGTTTTTCTTTGAAGACCTACCACACTTCTAGTGGTAGAGTGTATAACAATGCGTCAGTCAAGACAGCTATCCTATGAACGACTAATGATGTGTGTCCATCATATTGAGAAGTGGCGCCGAAAGAGAACATTGAATATTTTATATATA